AGGAACCGCCCAATATCTGCAAACGGCGAATCCAGTACAAACAAAAGGGGAAAGTGTTACCTCGGGTATACGAAGGCAGGGCAAAAGCAGCATATGCACATACCTTGGTATTTCGCTCCCCACCTAACGCGAAGCACAGCTCGCCACCTGCGCTCGTCGCAAGATGAATGAGTCATCAGCCTCCGGACCCAGCCTGGCAGATCATGGACTTCACCCGGCGTCCACGAAGTTGCTGCAACAAGGGAGATAACATTTTTACTCTGTTGGTTTTCGCTAGGAGCAAAATTTGAAAAAGCGCCAAAGCGCCTCACTCACGTGCATGATTCCACCATTCGGGAAATGGCAAAAACTCCACAGGGATATTATCGGTCGTCTGGACTCGGACAAACCAACTGGCCCACTCTCGATCCCTTCCTTCCTCGTCATCAACAACGAAGGGCGTGGACGAACGACCCATCAGGGTTAGTAGGCCTCGATGATGAAAGGGCCGATATAGCCTGATAAGGTGATCAAACGTGAATTCAAGCCCGGCCTTCTCCGCGAAGAATCTCATCATCAGCACCGTTCACCAAAATGACGGATGAATTTGTGCCAGGGTAACCCGATACTTCAAGAAAAAATCACGCACAACCCTATCAGGGGAGCCAAAGGCGAAAGGGTATAGGTGCACGCTCAGGAACCCATCAGTGGAGTCCGCGATGCCTTCATCTGGGGAAAGCACCTGTAGTGTTACCCCTTCGCTCCACCCGCAGTACCGCCTCGCCATCTCCAGGTGTTCCTCTCTTATCAAGGACGCCGTCTCCAGAGCAAAATCTTTCGACATCCAAGCGCCGGGAACAGCACTCTCCGCTCTTTGCCATGCCGGCCCCGAAGTGGTTGCAACTAACAAAATAAAGCAAGGGCGCGCACCAACACTTTTTGCACCTAAAGAGATGAGGAACCCTATGCCAAAACGGAAGTACAGCTACCTAAAAATAGTGAAGTCCTGCAAAGAAGCCGAAGCCGCCCACTTATATGCGAGAAGCAGCGACGATTCGCCTGCCCGAGGCAAGCCCCAGGAAGCCAACAGCCTCGATACAAATCAATGGGTCGATACCCGATCCAGAAAACATCCTCCAACAAGAAGTCAAGACTCGAGGGGTCGTGCGTATTATCTCAATGCTCGAGGTAGCACTCTACGCCAAGATCCCCCGGCCCAAAGTAATCGGGCCTCGGTGAGCTTTAAACACCAATACTTGACACAAGGCAAGCACCTGGTCTCGTGATCCCCTCTCCCTGAGAAGAGGAATAAACACCGGAAGCTCCGATCGCCAAAGCTCCACGAGGGCCCAAGGAAGTGCCCAAATACAGGAAAACTCCTCAGCAGAAGTCAATCCTATACATTCTAAAAATGTTATCTACATCAAGATCAATAGGGACCCCCAGGTACCCGAGGATGACCTCCATCCGGAATAATGTTCCCGAAGGCCACGGAATTCGACATATGATCTCCAAACAACTC